TGCTCAGGGATTTTTCAAAGCCACAAAGGTCATCTACGGACCAAGAAACCATGGCATACAGCCTCTACGCTCATCAGATGGAACCAAACTCCTGAAGGACCAAAACTCAATTGCACTACGTTGGAAAGAACACTACCAAAGCCTCCTGAACCGCAGCTCCAATGTGGCCGAAGAGGTCCTCTCACAAATCCCACAACAACAAACCAGGGATGAGCTTGCAGCACTGCCTAGTTTGGAAGAAGTCAGCAATGCCATCAGCCAACAGAAGAATAACAAAGCCAGTGGACCAGATGGGATCCCTGCTGAAATCTTTAAAGAGGGAGGACCTGAGCTGACACACCAGCTCCACCAGCTCATAGAAAAAGTGTGGGTGACCGAGAAAATCCCAGCAGATTTCAAGGACGCCACCATCATCACCCTCTTCAAAAAAGGGGAAAGAACAGACTGCGGAAACTATCGAGGTATCTCCCTTCTAACCTCCGCTGGGAAAATCCTCGCAAGAATCCTTGCAAACCGCCTTCTGCCCCTCTCAGAAGACACCCTCCCAGAATCCCAGAACGGCTTCCGCCCCTCCAGAGGAACCGTGGACATGATCTTCACTGCACGACAGCTCCAAGAAAAATGCAGGGAACAAAATCAACCTCTGTACATGGCATTCATCGACCTTGCAAAGGCATTTGACACAGTGAATCGCAGCGCTCTCTGGACCATCCTCCAAAAAATCGGGTGCCCTAACAAATTTGTGAACATCCTGCGGCTCCTCCATGATGACATGATGGCAACAGTCTTGGACAGCAATGGCTCCCAAAGCGACCCATTTATATATATAATATTTTTTATTAAAGTTTTTGATAGCAGTACATCGACAGGTGTTAATCATTGGACTTCTAAATTTTATAAAATTTGGACTGGGTTGGGTTAGGAGGGTAGGGTGGGGGGGGGGCGGACGGGGGAAGGGGTTTCTAATGGCCGGGGTAAGGGGAGAGGGGTGTAGCGGAACGGTGAGGGTGTCTTCTATCCTAACTTATCGGGGGGTGGGGGGGGGAAAGGTAAGGAGTGTGGGTGGTAGAGGAAGTGGGACGTGAAGTATGTTAGTTATATGTTAGTATGTATATTATTTACTTGGAATCATAGACTTCGAAATAGAGGAGAATAAAGATAAACTCTTTTTCTACATGGCGACCGCCGCGAGATTAGTGTTGGCAAGTAAGTGGAAAAATGAGGACATCCCAACGATAGATGAATGGAGACTTAAGCTGATGGATATAATGAACATGGACAGTTTGACACAGCACCTGACATCCAAACAGACGATAAGAAGAAAAACTACGGATTGGTCTCCAATAAGGAACTACTTGGACGGGAAGACAAAAAGACAGGAATGAAGAAAGAGAGAGAAAACAAGAAGAATGAAGAAATAAGCAGAAAGAATGCACGAACACTAACCAACTAACGGGGGGAAATGATAATCTGAGGTATACCATAAAGCACACTAAAATACTTCACGTCCCAAAGCGACCCATTTAAAGTGGAATCCGGTGTCAAACAGGGATGTGTTATTGCCCCAACTCTATTCTCCATCTTCATCGCTATGATACTTCACCTTGTTGATGGGAAGCTTCCCACCGGAGTGGAAATAATCTATCGGACAGATGGCAAGCTATTCAACCTCAGCAGACTGAAAGCCAAAACCAAGGTTACAACAACATCTGTTATAGAACTCCAGTATGCTGATGACAATGTCATCTGTGCGCATTCAGAAGAAGACCTACAAGCCACTCTAAACACCTTCGCAGAAGCATACGAGAAGCTTGGCCTGTCATTGAACATCGAGAAAACCAAAGTGCTCTTCCAGCAGTCACCAGCCAATCCCTCTCCAATGCCAGAGATACAGCTTAATGGTGTAACATTAGAAAATGTTGACCATTTCCGCTACCTTGGCAGCCACCTCTCCACCAAAGTCAACATCGACACCGAAATACAACACCGCCTGAGCTCTGCAAGTGCAGCATTTTTCCGAATGAAGCAGAGAGTGTTTGAGGACCGGGACATCCGTAGGGATACCAAGGTGCTTGTCTATAAAGCTATTGTCCTCCCAACCCTGCTCTATGCCTGTGAGACGTGGACTGTCTACAGACGTCACATGCAACTCCTGGAACGATTCCATCAGCGCTGCCTCCGGAAAATCCTGCAAATCTCCTGGGAAGAAAGGCGGACAAACGTCAGTGTGCTGGAAGAAGCAAAGACCACCAGCATTGAAGCGATGGTCCTCCAACATCAACTCCGATGGGCCGGCCACATTGTCCGGATGCCTGACCACCGTCTCCCAAAGCAGTTGCTCTACTCCGAACTTAAGAACAGAAAACGAAACGTTGGTGGAAAGGAAAAGAGATTTAAAGATGGGCTCAAAGCCAACCTTAAAAACTCTGGCATAGACACTGAGAACTGGGAAGCCCTGGCCCTTGAGCGCTCCAGCTGGAGGACAGCTGTGACCAGCAGTGCTGCAGAATTTGAGGAGGCACGAGTGGAGGGTGAAAGAGAGAAACGTGCCAGGAGGAAGGCGCGTCAAGCCAACCCCGACCGGGACCGCCTTCCACCTGGAAACCAATGCCCTCACTGCGGAAGAAGATGCAGAGCAAGAATAGGGCTCCACAGCCACATACGGACCCACAAGGAAATCCATAATGGAAGACCATCTTACTCATCCAAAGAGGGATCGCCTAAGTAAGTAAGTAAGTAAGTAAGTATATATATACGCACACATGTGTGCGTAAATATGCATGTATGTATTCATATCTCTGTCTCTGTATATTATATTTGTGTGTGTGTGTGTGTGTATTGATGTATTCTTATTTATTCATTCATTTAAAACATTTATATTCCACCCTTCTCACCCTGCAGGGGACTCAGGGCGGAGCACAACATACATACGGCAAACATTCAATGCCAGGACATAAAACTATATATAAAGTCATATGTATGTATATATGTTTATATGCATATATCTTCGTATATATATGTGCATGTATGCATTCATGTGTATATATATTTGTATATGTGTGTATATATGCATAGATGTATATATGTATATATTGATATTTATGTATAGATGTGTACATGTGTATTTATTTACATATGTGTATTTATATACACATGTATATGTGATATATATATATAGTTTTAGAATATTTTAATATTTGAGTTTTTACCTTTGTCATCTAAGCATATAAATGTTTAATACTGTTTTATCTATCATACTCAGTACTGGCTTTTAACTATTTTGATAATGTTTCTTAATACTGAAATGCATGTCACGATCCTATTTTGACGTTTGTTTACTTTTTGGTGCTGGTTGTTGACTATAATAATAAATATACTCTCTCGCTCTCTCTCTCTAAATGTAATGTTCGTTTGTGGGATTAACATCACTCAAAAACCATTGGACGACTTGCTCCCAAATTTGGCCACAAGACACCTACTAACCCAAGGAATTACCATCACTCAAAAAATTGATTTTGACATTTGGGAGTTGTAGTTCTAGGGATTTATATTTTAGAATCATAGAATCAAAGAGTTGGAAGAGACCTCATGGGCCATCCAGTCCAACCCCCTGCCAAGAAGCAGGAATATTGCATTCAAATCACCCCTGACAAATGGCCATCCAGCCTCTGCTTAAAAGCTTCCAAAGAAGGAGCCTCCACCACACTCCGGGGCAGAGAGTTCCACTGCTGAACGGCTCTCACAGTCAGGAAGTTCTTCCTAATGTTCAGATGGAATCTCCTCTCTTGTAGTTTGAAGCCATTGTTCCGCGTCCTAGTCTCCAAGGAAGCAGACTAGTTTACTTTGATTGTTTGATTGTTTACTTACAATCAAAGAGCATTCTGAACTCCACCAATAATGGAATTGAACCAAACGTGGCACACGGGACTCCCATGACCAGCAGAAAACACTAGAAGGATTTGGTGGGCATTGACTTTGAGTTTGAGATTTGTAGTTCACCTACATCCAGAGCGCACTGTTGACTCAAACAATGATAGATCTGACCAAACTTGGCAAGAAAACATGTTTTCTCCCTCTATTTCCCAGTTGTCAATCATTCTTGTTGGCATAATCTTGGTTTTTTAATGTTTAACTGCAACCCAGCTTTTGCGCTATGCAAGTGTGTGTCTTTATGTTCATGTGTATACACATATTTGTTAATACTGATTTAATATTGTGTATTTGAAATCGCATTGTAATGCTTTGAATGTGTAATGTTAGCCGGTTTAAGTTTCCTTAGGGAGAAAGCGGGATATAACTATCTATCTATCTACCTACCTACCTACCTACCTCTATCTATCTATCTATCTATCTATCCACATACATACACACATATATCAATATATAAACATGAAGATATATATATATATATTCATGAGTATATGTATGTGAATATATTTGTCTATGTGTGAGTATACGTATATGTATATGCATATGTATCTATGTGTATGTGTATAACGGGAAAGAGAATGAATGAAAAGCCTGTCTGGGTGGATGGCAAGCAAGCAGAGGATGAGGAGGAAGAAGAGGGAGTGCCAAGAAAAACAGAAAACAGGAAGGAGGGAGATAGAGGAGGAAGCCAGCCGAGAGAGTGGCCACTTTGGGGGAAGGAGAGCCTGCGGGAAGGGGAAAGAAGAGGGGGGGAAGAGGAAGAGGAGGAGGGGCGGAAAGGTCCGCTGCCATTGGCGGCCGGGGCTGCCCATCAGCTGCCCCCTACTTCCTGCCCCCTCCCTCTCCCCCCTCCCTCCTTCTCTCCCGGCAGAAGAAGCAGCAGCAGGAGCAGCCAAGCCAGAGCATCTCTCCCTTTCCTTGCTCTCCTTCTCACCACCCCTTTCCCCTCCTTCCTCTGAATCCATTTATCCCTCCTTTGCAGCGCATCTTGCAAAGCAGCAGCTGCAATTGCATCTCTCCCTCCTTCTCCTCCTCTTCTTCCTCCTCCTCCTCCTCCATCGCTGCCTCTCCCTATTCCCCCCCCCCTTTCCCCTTCCCAAAGGCTAGCATGGCCTGGGCCTGGAGGCGAGGGGGGTAGCCAGCCTGGGGCCTCCGGGAGCCCCCTCCCAGGAAGGGGAAGCAGGTAAGGCTTGGCTTTGCTGCAAAGGGTGAGAGGCATCCTTTGCATTCCCTTTGGAGGGAAGAGCCGAGGCCCATTGGATGCTGCCATTTGTGGGGTTGCATAGGATTTGGAAGGGGGGGGATATGAATCATGGGGGTGGGCAGGCTGTGTTCTTTGCCTTGGAGAGAGGATGCCTTGGGGTGGGAGGTTTCCTTTGCATGGCATGGGGAGAAGGTTGCATGGGGTGGGAAGGGGGATTTGTGGGGGATTTGAAGTGTCATTTGTGTTAGGGAGGAAGGCACAATTAACATTTTCCTGAGAGTAAGGTAATGGGGGAGGAGATGTGGGTCTAGGCCAGGCATGGGCCAACTTGGGCCCTCCAGGTGTTTGGACTCCAACTCCCACAATTCCTAACATCTGGCCTACTTGGGCCCTCTAGGTGTTTTGGACTCCAACTCTCACAATTCCTAACAGCTGGCGAACTTTGGCCCTCCAAGTGTTTTGGACTCCAACTTCCACAATTCCTAACATCTGGCCAACTTGGGCCCTCTAGGTGTTTTGGACTCCAACTCCCACAATTCCTAAGATCTGGCCAACTTGGACTCCAACTCTCACAATTCCTAACAGCTGGCAAACTTGGGCCCTTCAGGAGTTTTGGACTCCAACTTCCACAATTCCTAACAGCTAGCCAACTTGGACCCTCCAGGTGTTTTGGACTCCAACTCCCACAGTTTCTAACATCTGGCCAACTTGGGCCCTCCAGATGTTTTGGACTCCAACTTCCACAATTCCTAACATCTGGCCAACTTGGGCCCTTCAGGAGTTTTGGACTCCCAACTCCCACAATTCCTAACATTTGGCCAACTTGGGCCCTCCAGGTGTTTTGTACTGCAACTCCCACAGTTTCTAACATCTGGCCAACTTCTGCCCTCCTGGTGTTTTGACTCTGACTCCCAGCAGGCTGTTAGAAATTGTGGAAGTCCAAAACACCTGGAGGGCCCAGTTGGCCCATGCCTGCTCTTGACCCATTTATGGAGAGAGGGCTGTAATGGGTAAGCGATATCGCTTGAATCATGAGGGGCAGAGGATAGCTTTGTATTGGGGATGAGTAGGTTGTTTAGGGCCCTTCCATGCAGTCATATAACCCAGAATATCAAGGCAGAATGACCCACAACATCTGCTTTGAACTGAGTTATCTGAGGCCCTTCCACACAGGTAAATAAAATCCCACATTTTATGTTTTGAACTGGAATATATGGGAGTGTGGAACTCAGATATTGTGGGATTTTCTGCCTTGATATTCTGGGTTATATGGCCCTGAGTCCACACTGTCATATATTCCAGTCCAAATCAGATAATGTGGGATTTTATTCAGCTATGTGGAAGGGGCCTTAGAGTGGGAGGTATAGTTTGAATTGTGGGGGGAAGAAGGTGTCACTTGCATTTGGGGATTGGGGAGAGAAAGTTTTGCATGGGTGAGAGGTGCAGTTTGAATTATGGGGTGCATCTTCTGCATTGGATGAGAGAATTGCTTGTGATGAGAGGTATAATTCTGGAAGGAAGCAAGAGGAAAGTAATGGAAGGGGGAAGTCGAGCCTCATGCATCAAAGGGCCCTTCCACACAGCCATATAACCCAGAATATCAAGGCAGATGATCCACAGTATCTACTTTGAACTGGATTATCTGAGTCCACAATGCAGTATAATCCAGTTCAAAAATTTTACAGCTGTGTGGAAGGGGCTTAACTCAAAGCCTACAAATGTGGTCCTCCGTGTCATTATATGTGGCCCTCCTGAAGTTGGACTACAACTCCAGTCTTCCTTATCATTAGACATCGTGGCTAGTGCTGATGGGAGTTTTGATACAATGACAGCTGGAAGGCTGCCGTTTCTTCTGTTTAGTCAGGAGGGTGTGGTTTGAGTTGCGATACAAGGATTGTGGCTGTAATGCCTGATGTTCATATGATGTCCTTTAACCTTTCCCAAACCTCAGAGCCACAAGTGATGTTGGGTTGCCTGTGATAAGACGTAACATTTTGTAGGGAAAGGAGAGGGAAGTAATGGAAGGAGGAAGTTGAGCCTCAAACTAAAGACCTACAGACTGAATGCAGCCCTCCATATCATTATATCTGGCCCTCCAGAAGCTGGACTACAACTCCTGTCTTACTCATGATTAGACATCACAGCTAGAGCTGATGGGAGTTGTGATATACTAACATCTGGAAGGCTTGTTCTGTTTAATCAGGGTGGCGTTTGGATATAGATACAAACCTCATTGATATGTTGCCTAGCTTTAAAATGTCCTTTCACCTTTCCCCATCCTCAGAGTCACAAGTTGCCATTCCTATTATCTCCAGTCCACATGGTGGAGAATCAAAATGATTGGAGTTGTGGTTCAATGACATCTGTGGACCCAAACTTGGTAAAAAACTAAAGAGCACGTACCTCTGTGTGAAAAAGTTATAGTATCCATGGAGGTGGGAGATGTCATTGGAATTATGGCAGCGAGGCATCATTTCCATGGGGGGAAGGAGAGGATCGCATGAGGTAGTGGGAGGCACACTTTGACCTATTATGACAGTGGTTCTCAACCTTCCTAATGCCACGAGCTCTTAATACAGTTCCTTACAGTTATGGTGACCCTTAACCATAACATTGTTTTCATTGCTACTTTGTAACTGTAATTTTGCTACTGTTGTGAATTGTAATGTAAATATCTGATCTGCAGGATGTATTTTCATTCACTGGAACAAATTTGGCATAAATACCTGATACGCCCAAATTTGAAAACTAGTGAGGTTGGGGTTGTGGGGGGGGGGGGGGGGATTGATGTTGTTATTTGGGAATTTAGTTGCTGGGATTTATAGTTAACCTACAGTCAAAAGGCTTCCCTCCAGTCTTGCATGCTCTCCCTCACCTGCACATGCACATCACACTACCATGCCCCGAGCATGCTTGCTCACCCCTCCTTGCTTGGAGTCTCAGAAAGATCTCCCCTCTTGGCTGAGAGCTGAAGGAGGGCTTTTGGTGAGAGGATTTGCATCTAGAATCATAGAATCATAAAGTTGGAAGAGACCTCATGGGCCATCCAATCCAACCCCCTGCGAACAAGCAGGAAAATTGTATTCAAAGCACCCCCGACAGATGGCCATCCAGCCTCTGTTTAAAAGCTTCAAAAAAAGGAGTCTCTACCACACTCCGGGGCAGAGAGTTCCACTGCTGAACGGCTCTCACAGTCAGGAAGTTCTTTCTCATGTTCAGATGGAATCTCCTTTCTTGTAGTTGGAAGCCATTGTTTCTCGTTCTAGTCTGTTTCCAAAAAGGAAGAGAAGGACAGGTGGAAAGATCTTCAGTGTTCTCTGCCAAAGGGGTTCTTAAGGCCATCAGAAATATGTGTTTTTGTTGGTCTTTGGTGACCCTTCTGAAACCCCCTTGCGACCTTCCCCCCAGGGGTCCCAACCGCCTGGTTGAGAAACCATCAAGGACTTTAAGATCATCTGGAGAGGCTCTGCTCTTGGTCCCACCACCATCACAGTTATGTTTGGTGGTGATGAGAGAAAGGCCTTCTCTGTGGTGGCCCTTCTGCTGTGGAACTCCCTCCCTAAAGAGGCTAGATTTCCCCCTCCCTCCTGACTTTTTGCAAGACACTTAAGACTTGGCTGTGGGAAAAAGCATTCGCAGAATAGACCATTTTTATTGGCTTAGATGAGATTGTATGGATCACATTTTTTTGGATGGATTTGGAGCACGTTTTAAACTTGGCAAACTGTTTTTAAAATGTATCTTTATTATTTTATGTAAATGTGTATTTTATCGGTGTTTTTATATTGCTGGAAGCCGCCCTGAGTCCCTTTTTGGAGGGCAAGAATAGGACGGGATACAAATGTTCTAATAAATAAATAAATAATAAACTCTGTATTATGAGGTGGTGAGAGACATTGTTTGCATTTTGGTGAGGATAAAATAACAGGGGCAGGAATTGTGGGCCTAGGCCCTGAATGCTTTCATATGGGGAGAAGGGGTCGCTTTGAATATGGGGTAAGTATAGAGCAGGCATGGGCAAACTTTGGCTCTCCAGTTGTTTTGGACTCCCAACTCCCACAATTCCTGACAGCTGGTAGGCTATTAGGAATTGTGGCAGTTGAAGTCCAAACCACCTGGAGGGCCGAAGTTTTCCCATGCCTGCTTTAGGTTATTTGTAAGTGTGTATTGCCTTCTGGTTGCTGGTCACTTTATTTTGCATCCATAAATTTAATAGGAAGACTCAAAGGTAGTTTTGCCAGTTGCTTCCTCTGCAGTGTCTCAAGAACATCTTGGTAGTCACCCATTTGAATATTAACCATGCCTCATCCTGCTTAGCTTCCAAGATCAGATGGGATCTGCTGCCTTTTGGGTAGTTGTATGTATGTGCCCTCAGTTTGTCTACATCAATTTAATGGACTTTCTTAGACATAGAAGATGCAGCGCTGGTTTTACCAGTTCCTTCCTCACAATTATAGCCTACAGCATCTAGTATTTCTGTATTACAGTATAGTGGTATAGTACAATATAGTAATATATAATACTAATATTGTGCTGTGCTAATAATATAATATATTGTATACACATATAATATTGATAATAATATAATGTAATACAATATAATATTAATAACAATACAATATAATATATTTTATATTACATGTAATATTACTAATGATATTACAGTATAGTAGTATAGTACAATATGGGAAGATTTGGTACTAATATTGTACTATGCTAATAATATAATATATTGTATTTACATATAACTTGTAAGCTGCTCTGAGTCCCCTTTGGGGTGAGAAGGGCGGCATACAAATGTAGTAAATAATTAAATAGTCTCTCATCCAAGTACTAACTAGGTCTGATCCTGCTTTTCCTCCAAGAGCAGACAGGATCTGGTGCCTTGAGGGTACTTAGGTTGTCTGGTGGTATGGATACTGCTAAATATTTTTAAAAATGCAAAATAAGACGTGCATGCATCTCTGGACACTCCTTTC